TGGCAAAGATAAAAATAAATCAGTTATTAGAAATGAGTTATTAAAACTATTATGTTTAGAAGTGTATTGAATGAAATCTTCTCTCCGTTAAACAGAAATTGGCAGAAAAAATAAACAGGGGACTAATAATACTGACTTTAACTTTATATCAATATTGTAGATTTGTTTAAATTTTTGTTTTTAAATACAGATGAAAGAGCATTTATATGGCAATGGATTATAGTGATTATCTCTATAGGTGTTCATTTTTGTGAGTGTACATATACTGTTGTTTTTAATTTTTGTTCAAATGAATAGCTAATAATTAAGTTAAAACGTGTCAATTATCTGTTGTCATTTGTAATTATCAAATTACTGATGTCATTAAATGAGGCTAATTGGAGACTCCTGCTTCTGTTGTCAGCAACTGCCTAGTTTCCATTTTTATTTCAGCTTAGGAATGTTAACTGTTAAGTATTTCTCACCAAGGGGTCATACATGTGATCCTAAGCTCCAAAACAGAAGACAATACGCTGAGGTGTTTAGTTTAATTCAATGTCTTTAACTGAATTATGTTTTAATTATTTGCTTCTGTGCTTACTTTATTATAATACAGGCAATATGCGAAAATATTAACCTAATTATTATGGTTTATTTTATAATAATTAATACAAACTTTATAAATAGAGTCATTAAACATGTTTTAGTTTTAGTATAAAAAAGGCAAATATATTAGAGGCAGATTCGTAAGATTAACAAAGAACTACTCAAACCTTCTTTTACAGCTACTGTTATTGTAAAATACAATAAAATCAACAATATGCATTTAGTTATTTAATATTTTTATTCATCAGACAAAAGTACAAAAAAATTATTTTGGATGTTTTCACTGACCTAATAAACTATTCTTTAAATATAAATAAGACAATGATGATGATTAATAGCTATGAATACTAGAATTTGTTCAGTAAAAGTGTTTCCGTTGCAGTTTATGCACATTTGTTCTTATGGAATCAAAAGTTTATCCTATATACTCAGTTATGCGCACACGTGTTTTATGCTTATTTTCAAAATTAATGCGCATTTTGGCGTTTCCTTCAACTGTTTTTAGGCGCATCTCCAAAATGGAAGGTGGACGGAAGCGTAGCTACTGAATCGTAGCTACCTGAAGTTTGGTATCATAATTGGAAACTTATTTTGCTTGTATATGCTTACATAAATACTTGAACAATTGTAATTCAAACTATTTATACAATTCAAACTATTTAAATAATTATCCTCAATTCCCAAAGCATTAATAGGCAAAGTAGGTTAGCATTCAGTGTTTCTCCTAGGTTTATAGTCCTGGAGGGCTTAGACCATGACTATGCCTCTTGCAATCTGTTCTCTTGCTCATTCACTCTCATTGCCATGATTTCTGAGTATTTTAACTCATTTTCGTGGATCATTGGGTCGGTATAAATTTGCGGGAGACTTTCCGTGCTTCCAGGAGAGGTCATAAGGTCGGATAAGATGCTAGATAAGGGAGAACGCATCACCGCAGCTCAATTCAATTCACCTTTATTTGTATAGCGCTTTTACAATGCAGATTGTGTCAAAGCAGCTTCACATAAATGGTCATAGTAAATTGGAACATAGTAGTTCAGTTTTTAGTGTTTAAGTTCAGTTCAGTTTAGCTCACTTCAGTGTGGTTTAATAATCACTACTGAGGCTCCAAACACTGGAGAGCAAATCCATCGATGGTTAGCTCTACCAATCCCAAACCATGCAAGATAGTGGCGACAGCGGAGAGGGGAAAAAAAAAACTTCACAAATTGGCAAAAGTGAAGAAAAAAAAAACCTTGAGATAAATCATTTAATAAATAATTTAAATCACTGGAAATACAATGGCTGCAATTGCAACAAAAGAGAGCATCACTCGCGCGAGTTGCGCCAATAAAAAAAACAGAGGTCCCATTGTATTTGTATATATTTTAGCTGCTGTGACATGAGTGCATTACGCCCCCACGCATCATTTACCTGTGTTGTTGTTACTGTCGGCCAGGGGTGTCCAAAAGTTGGTCCTGGAGGGCCGGTGTCTCGCTGACTTTAGCTCCAACTTGCTTCAACATACCTGCCTGGAACTTTCTAGTATACCTACTAAGAGCCTGATTAGCTTATTCAGGTGTGTTTGATTAGGGTTGGAGCTAAACTCTCCAGGACACCAGCCCTCTAGGACCGAGTGTGGACACCCCTGCTGTAGGCAATGCATAATATACGGGAGCGCACATGCGTCTTCGGTCCTGTCAGATGTGGCGTGCAGTCTCATTCCCATACAACAGATAGTGTGCGCGAGAGAGAGTACTTCAGAGAGTAGAAATGTGTAACCGCGCGACTTTGTAGAGACAGAAATGACATGCTGTCGTGTTGAGCTGCAGGCCAGAGTGGAGTTTATTAATGTTCACGACTGATCCAAATATGGTCAAAATGGACCTTCTGATTTTTAGGGTAGTTTTATGGGATTTTATGGTAATCTAGAAATGTGTTAATATTAGAGATGTACTGAATTTTCGAGATCGAGATGGCATTTTCGCCTTATGGAGGAGGTGGATGAGCTTCACATTATTCTACAGGAAGGAAGTCTTGACATTCACATTTATTTGTTAAAGCTCATGCCCAATATTTAACACACCTTATGCACGTGTGTGTATGTGTGTTTGCACTGTTAAAGCAACATACTCCTCTATAATAACACAATCGTATCTGTCTTTTGTGCGGCTGAATCTAAAATATGAGGCATATTTGTGATTCACGGTGATCTGACTTAAGCTTCAACCTATTCATGACGCCTTCTCCCGGGGGTGATAAACTGCATGTGTTGTGTTTTGTGTTTTGTGTACATATCGTGCCGGTACATGTCTAACAGTGCAGCAGGTGAAACCAGTCTATCCTCATTTGTAACGGATCTCAGGTGTGTATTTGTGTGTGTGTATTTAGAGGAGTTGAATGAGAGGGAAATATCTCATCGATGGCCATCTGCCTGCCTCTCTCTCTCTCTCTCTCACACACACTACAGACCTGCCTGTTGGGTGAGATTTTCTGCGTGTGTGTGTATGTGTGTGTTAGAGTGTGTGTGCTGGTTTTGGAGGTTTACAAGGACACAAATTTGTATAATGATATGGGCATGACCTAGGGTTGTCAACTTATTGACTTCAGAAATCAACTTATCAAATTTGTACAATAAGTGCTGATTGGTAACGAAGCCGATACTTTTGACAACCCCTAGTATGACCTAGGAATTACAATGGTGAGGGGGTTTATGAGGACACGTCTCTGTAATTCATTCATTCATTCATTCATTTTCCTTTGGCTTATTCCCTTTATTCATCAGGGTTGCCACAGCGGAATGAACCATCAACTTACCCAGCATATGTTTTACACAAGTATGCCCTTCCAGCTGCAACCCAGTACTGGGAAACATCCATACACACTCATTCAAAAAGCACCCTGAGGAAACATACACAAACATGGAGAGAAAATGCACACAGAAATGCCAACCGAATCAGCCGGGACTCGAACAAGTGATCTTCTTGCTGTGAGGTGACAGTGTTAACCACTGAGCCACACTTAAATATAGTACTTAACATGGTCTTTTGACATTTAAAAATTTGCCATAGGTTTCCTGGGGTGAGAGTTTAGGATTAGGGGTGAGGAAAGATGATAAAATAAGTGTGTTTTTACGGAATGATATACATTTATCCTAAGGAGAGTCCTCATAAACCCAAATACCATAGTCTGTGTGTGTGTTAGTACGTGAGCTGATATATGTTACTGTGGATGTCCCGTGTTGTTTTATAGCAGCTGTTTTAGTCTGGCCTCAGAGAGCAGCTGCAGTGAGCTTTCTGGCACCCTGTGTTTTTGTCTGCCATTCTGGGGTTTTCTCTCAGACTTTTGGCTTTTCTTTCTCATAGTGGTCATTCTTCCATTTTTTTGTGTGTCTGTCTGTGCGCTCGAACAAGTATATACAGTTTTTTTGGGGTCTTTTTTTAAACTTCTATTGTGTTTGCTATAGCGGAGCCATTATTTTAGCTCTTTCTCTAAGGGGACTTTTAGAGAGCGGGGGGGTTTTCGCATTGCTCTGATTCCAGTTTCGCACAGACACACTCAGTCGAATGGTCTTTCAGAGACGCTCAAGGGCTTCAGGTTCAGCAGAGCTGCGACATGTTGTTGTTGGGCTACGTGGACTTTTTCAGTTCTGCCTGATGGATTTGTGTCTTTTATTGATGGAACAAAAGATTGAGTAATAAAGATGAAACTGAAATGGAAAGATTAGATAATACAGAAATCTGAGAGTTCTGAGGGGCAAAAGCGCTTTTTTTGTGTGTCTTTTTTTTGTTTTTTTTTGCGGAAGACAGTGATGGGGGCTGATGGGAGAGACTATAGAGATGATGGTGATAAACACAGAGGAGCCAGAGGGATAGACATGGCAAGGAGAGAAAAGAAAGGTTTATGAAATCGCATAATAGTTTTAGGTTTGAGTAAGTTTAATTACATTGTGAAAGGATGTTTTAGCTTTCTAAGCTTTTTAGCCATTTGTTAACAATTTCTGTTGTTGTTTTTTTTTTGCTTGACAGTTTTTAAAACACTTTTATTTTGAAGAAACAAAAAAATAGACTTCATTCAATGAGTTTAATTGGTCATGACGTCAGAAATTCAGTTTTGAAGAGCTTAGAAGCTTTAACAAGTACCCTGCAAACAATTCTGTCTTTATTAGACAACTAGACAGCTTCGCTCAAACAAGGCTAAACTTGGGCTGTCAGTGAAAATCTAATAGATGTCTAAGAACAACCCAAAACTAGTCTATAGTCATCGAATAGACAGACTTTATATGTAGTCATTGATTTCTGTTTATTTGATGACTAGTCTAGTTTTGGACTATTCTTTGGCACCTATTAGATTTTCACTGGCAGCCCAAATTTAGCCTTGTTTTAGCCAAGACGACTATGTTTAGACATCTATTAGACATATTTTAAAAACAAAAAATGCTTGCTAGGTAAGTAATTTTGAGGGCGGGGCATTCATGATTTAGAGAGCACCTGATTGGACAGAAATCAGTGCAGTGCAGGGTGAGTCATTAAGATTTATAGCAGTTTTTGGAAAGTGAAAAACAACATATTTGGCAAGTGCTTTTTTTTAGGTAAATTTGAAACATAGTCTTAAAGCTTACAAACAGATTACTAACCGGTGAGCTGCATACAGATATAGTCTGGAAGGAGTGATAAAGAGAAAGATAACGAATGAATGAAAAGAGAGAGAGGGAGAGAAGGAGACAGCAAGCAAAAGAAAAGCAAGAGGGACGGCCCACTCAGAGTGACAGAGAGCTGGAGTTCAGAGTTTGTCAGGAGATGACAGAGTGTAGAGACAGGGAGAGAGAAAGAAAGAGGAGCTAAATGGTTTAGAAAGTATAAGGAATTGAAGGAAAAAAAGATTGAAAGAGAGGAAGAGAGAAATACTGATGCGAAAAAACTTGGATTTAGTTTTTTTTTCCATTCAGCAGCAGCCGGCTTCCCTGGATCTACTTCTTTGCCAGCACTGCCACGTGCTCCCCACACACACATACACACACACACACACACACATTTCAGGGTCTGGCAGACGGGGGTATGTGGCTCTATCCTGGATTGCTCTCATCTCTGGATATGCCTCTGTAGTCGTAGCACTCGTCTGTGTACTTGTGTGTGAGCATGGGAGGTGCAGAGCTTGCCGATGTGATATGGATCTAGCAATTTGACTCCGGGAATCCTTTAAGAAAATTTGCCAGCATGGAAATATGACGAGATTTGGGCATGTTCAAGGAAAGCCACATCTGGACTTTCTCCTCTCTTTGGGAGAGAACGGACACCTCTTTAACCTGACTTGTAGCCTTTAATTTTTTTTTTTTTTCACATTGAAAGGTCGTAATGGTTCGCTTGTGAATGCGACGTGTGCTTTTGTGAGCCCTTGCACACTCCCAAGTGCATTTATGTGTGATGTGGTCAGCAGGTCAAGTGCCACTGGCGATGCCCGTTGTGTGCCCGCATGTAGGGGGTAAGGAGTGGTGCTTTCAGGATGCAGTCGGGGTGGATTGCAGCTCTCCAGAGCCTCGCTGTATCTGGGTGGCGGTTTTACACGGGGATACACAGCAAATTAACATTTCCAACCTCCAAAATGACTCTTCTCCAAACATAAATGGCATCAGTGCTGGGAAAGCACTGTCAAGACCCGCACAGACCTCCAGGGTAAGCTGATTTAAACATGACATATCATCTTCTGTTGTTAAACATATTGACGCAATAAATACCTTCATGGGGAAGAAATTTAACCTGGCTTTAAGAAGAGTAATTCACTAATATATATTGCTAACATAATATTTTGCTTGTTTGTTTTGATATCTGATCATGATAATGTTGGTAGATTTTATTATATTCCATTCTGTGCTCATCAGATTTAACCATTTATATTGGTTTTAGTGTGTTTAAAAAGGTTTGGACAAAAGTCCTCATAAGATTACAGATATTGGCCTTTAAAATGTTATTTCTGACTGTGTCTTTCATCCTTAACATCTTTTCTGAGACTTTAAACCGCAGAGATTGGGAGGTTGGATACACTAATTAGAAAGTAAAGGCACCTGATAAGGGGTTATAAAGACCCTCTGGGTGACTGTAGATGCTTGTGTGTGTGTGTGTGTGTGTGTGTGTGTGTGGTTGGTTTGGTTTTGCTTCTAGCACAAAGATTATAGGATATAGAGAGGGAATGCCTTGGTATATTGTGTATAGGAGACTTGTTTGTGTGTAGTGATGACACATTTTATGATATTTGTTAGAGATATTCCTAAATAGAGTAGTGTGGAGTGATGGGACCTGATATTCTTCAGAATTTTAGAAACTGTACAGACAGCTGCCGGACAGACATGCTCTAACCCAAACCAAAGTCAACCGCTTTCAAATATGTGTGGCAGGACGGCTCCTACAGTCGGATTAACCGCTCCATGTCCTCCTAAAAAAGCAAACTGTGCATCACCATATTTGAGCAAGACTCATAATTCCTGACAGAGGTGAACTCTTCCGTTCATTTGCATCACATAAAGGAAAACACAGGATTTCGAAACTGGCAAATCTGCTGATGCCATCTAGGAGTCATGTTGTTTTAGTTAGACCTATCTGTGTATAAATGAAGCTAATGAGTTGATTGAGATTTGCTTAAATCTTCAGTGTACTTGTTCAGTATTGTTCAGCTGTGTGTTTCTTTAGGGTTATTAGGCTGAAACAGAAGGTAGCCAGGTGGTGTGCTTTTGCAGGACTGTGTTAAAATACACAAGCAATGGAGAAGCAGGGTTGCTGAATGTTTGTCAGGGTACACTCTAAAGGATACACATTACTTTGTATAAGTCACACCAGTAACCCAGGGCAAACAAAAAAGTGGCAGAAACTAAAGTTTATAGATGGATTTTTACTTCCTAAATATTCCTGTGTTATAATTGGTGTGTAAACGTACAGCACTTGCTGTAGTGCTACATTGTGTCAATCATGTATACAGCATTTTTTTGGATTACCTATATCTGACTAAAGTCGTAATGTAAAACAGAAATCGAATTAAGACGTGGAGTATTCCTATTTAGTGGCATTATTGAAGTGCAGTACAGACCAGTAAACACCTTAATCAAATTATCATGATTTTGTAGTACTTTATTCTACATTTTGCGACAGAATGCACACATGGCAGTTGTCAGACATTTAAAGACAAACAAATGATAATGGCATAGAGTACCACTAAGTTACATTCACAGTAATCCTTCGCACACACAATGTAAGAAATCAACTGCAGTTGAACTTGTCGCAAAAATTAACAATTAAATGCCCAAAATCACATATAGTGCCATGATGAACATGGACTGTTGTTGCTTACAACCCTGAAGGACATTAGCATTGAATAGTGATGTAATGACATTAATCGAACTATGTACTACATCATGTAAAATGAGAACATGAAAAGAACATTTAAAAAGCAACTCATGTAAACACCTTAATCTTATTATTGTCTTATTCATATTAAGGCAAATAATTTGATTCCTGGTGTTTATGTAAACATAGTTACTGTCTTCAAATTTAGTCCATTGGCATGATTTCAGTCAGATATCATAATGTTTAGATATTTGCCATTGAAATAATTGACTGCTGAGTTTTGATTGGTCGTTATTTTATTGATTCATCTTGAAAATAATGACATTTCATAGTCTGCGCATGGCAGGCTTGGGGTTGGTTTTGGGGGTGAGCGACGTATCTGAGTAGGGGTATGTGTGCGTGAAGCATACCTGAAGAGCGGTAGGAGTGAGTTGTGCGCGACATACGTGAAGAGCAGTGGGGGTGAGTTGCGTGTGACGTACCTGAAGAGCTGGGAGGAATGCGGTGGAGAGGGCTGTGAGACGTATTTAAGGACCGGGCGGGAGACGCGCGATTTCCGTGAGATTTTCATTTATTTGCGGCCATCCGGGAGTCTCTATGCATTTGCGGGATACTTCCGGAGCTTCCAGGAGACGGATTGATAGATTTGCTCTTCTGTGTTTAGCTTTTCAGCAGTGAAACTACACAGTAAACTACACTGACCTGAACTAAACTAAAACTGAATTCTGAAAACTGGACTGGCTCAGTTTCAATTTACTAGTACTTCTATGTTAAGCTGCTTTGAGACAATCTACATTGTAAAATCACTATAGAAATAAAGATGAATTGAATTGACTTTAATTACTTCTCACCACAGAGGAGTTGAACATGATAATTTGACAATCAATTTAATTAGCAAATATTTGAGAACTGTGACATAATGGCTACTTTGTGTTCCTTCTTGACTTGTGTTGTTTGCTTGGTTTTGTCACTTCGTGTTTTGTTCTCGTGCTCTCATTGGCAGTTCTCGCGCTCTGATTGTCTGCTATATTTCACGAACGGTGGTTGCTTGGTTTGTGGTGTGTCCTGGCATTTGACAGTATGCTTAGACATACCTTGTTTCTGTTGTCATTTGAGCTATGTCAATGCAGTTTAGCTTATTATCTTTATGTTGGTTGTGTGTGAACAGTGTAAATGCTATACCAATCAGCACTACATAATACTTTCAAAAGAGCATTCGAATTTATAGAAGAAACACCATATAATTTCAAACAGTTCTTTATGCTTTAGAGCTCTCTAAGGATTGAATGTAACTTAAGCAAACTTAAATCTTTAAATAACAATAGTTAAAATGTCTTTGTCATTATGGCCACTGATAAGTAAGTTGTCAGTCTACACATAAAGCCCAAAGTGACTTGCCATTCGCGCTAGGAATATCCAGCTGGATCATCATGGGTTTAGATGACTAGCACAGGGGCACAAAAGGTGAAAGCATGTGTGTTTAACCATTAACAGTTTACCAAATCTTAAACCACTTATTATACCCCTTAAATAAATACATAAATATATAAACTGGCTGATTCTAATAAATTTATTGTGAAATGTAAAAAGAAAATGAATTTAGAGGTTTTATTTTAAGTTATTCAAAACTTTTTTAAAAAGTATTTAAAAAGTTGCATGGGACGATAACCGTTTTTAGGGTATACCGCGATTTGAAAAAATGTCAGGCTTTTAAAACTGCAAAAAAAAAAATCTGTTATACCGTTACTCCGGTATATGTAAGATTCCTTTATTTCGTTTTTTTTTTTTTTTTTTAGGACAACAGTATATTCAGCAGAAAAAAATATCCAAATACGCCGTTTTAAATGTTAAGAAAACTGTATTTTTATAGCGAATGAAGACAGCAGAAGACTATGATTCATTTAAATTATTTAGCCTGTTTACTGTTCCAATATATTGTAAATGTTTCTCAAAATAAAATACATTGTGTTCAAAAGGGGAAAGTTTTAGTTTTTTACCCAGAAATTAAAAAAGAATATGTCATCACAATACCGTGATATTTTTATCCAAGGTTATTATACCGTCAGAATTACATAGAAGCCCATGCCTAATTGGGAACTAAATGTTTAGGTTTAGGTTGAATGGCTAAAAAAATGTTTACATTAAACTTTTTCTGCTGAATAAGGGAAAACTTTATCTATTTTGGCAGTTTTTGGCAAAACACTAACTTTTGATCATAGTGCAACTCAGAGTTATCTGATACTGTTATCAACAAAATGTGATGATGTGCATACATATTACATGATTAGCTTATTTATTTCCACATATACTCGACAACTGGAATAACAAAAGCAGACTACGGGAACACATTTTTGCAGGCATAGTTTTACTTTGCTTTTCGAGGTGAAATGCTAAATACTGGCTTTTATTTTGTCATTGTATCTGTGGATCTATGTGATTGTTTTCACAATATTGTCGTCACTTCACAGAACCTTTCAAAACCATAAAACAGATTATTTTCCATTTTTTAAAACAAATCCTTGTTCTGTATAACAAAACTGAATTATAAAGCCATGTAAAACTATTTTATAAATGTTTAAATACAACATAAAGGACAAAAACAACATTATTACTATAATGTAATAAAATACAAGAAAATGAGGGTTTATTTAAAATAATAGTGCATCACAGTAATTCAAGATGTACACTGAGTAAACAAGAATATACTGTTTGGTGATCATATGGATACTAACAGTGTTGGGGTAACGTATTACAAGTAACGCGAGTTACATAATAATAATAATACTTTTTTTATGTAACGAGTAAAGTAATGCATTAATTACAAAATTTAAGTAATAATATTTTCACATGAAGTGCCGCTGACAACAAGGGTGCAGATCCAAACGCAGGTTTATCTAGCAGAATGGTCAGGCAAGCAACGGTCAACAGGGGCAAACAGATGCATACAGGCAAATCCAGATTCATAGTCAAAATACAGTACCAGGCGAGTGGTCAGAAGGCAGCCAGCAGACAGGAATGAACAATAAAACAAACAAATTGAGGGTCAAACCCGGTAAGGAAAACACAGTGTAATGTCACAGAAACAGATAACAAGAGTCAGCAACTAGTGTGTGTGTCTGTGCTGCTGAAATAGTCCATGTAATCAGTTTTTGACAATCCTCCGGCTGTTTGTATGCAATCTGTCAGGATTAGGATCCGGTGTGAGTGTGTGTGGTGCTTGACTGGATCTTTTAGTTACTGAAATGGCGGAGTTGTTGTCCGTTAGCGATCCGTGTGTATATCAGCGATCTGCACAGGCTGGATTGCTGGACACTGTGACAAATATTTGAGTTACTTTT